TGGACCGTTCGTGTTCCTCCTACTTTTGAAAAGTCGCTTCAAGACACGCAACGAAGAACTAGGCGTGAAAAAGATGACAATCTATATAATATATAGATTGTCATCTTTTTCCAGTCCTCAGTGATCCATAGCGCTGCGGTGGCCGTGAGCAAGTTGACTACTCAAATATGAAACAACCGGACAGAGTGTGATCATTGAAAGTTGAACCAGCTCGAGAAGGAGTGGTAGAAAAATTACTGATATTTAGGATACCGGTGCGGGCGAGTTTGTTGTTCACTATTGTCAGGCTTTCACCCGCTTTAGTGGGAGAAAAAGTCCCTACAACGGATTCACTCACCCTTCACCCTTTCCAGGATTCACTGTTTTCAGGCGGGGCCGCATGATCAATTGAGCAAGAGCAAGGCGTAACTTCTCTCATATGGTTATGTTGATTGATGATCTTGACAATTCCACCAACACGACTAACGAATCTATAATGGTGAACATAGCCGTCCATTCGTGGATTATTCAGCCCTGAGTTTGAGGTTATTAATACAACCTGAGTTAGGGGTTGTTATTGACAACTGTATCATCTCATCTGTATCACTAGCCCCTCGAGCCAAGCGGCAGAGCCAATATGCTAGGCTCGATGCCGTCCGAGTAGAGCAAATCAAAATTACTCAATGCGAATATCAACGAAGAGTAACTTAAGATGTAACGGAGTTAAAACATACCGTCCTCACCGAACAAACAATGCACCGTTTTGTAGAAAATGCTTTTAGCGCTCGCCCATGTGATCGATTACTGTGATCGCCCCTCGTGCACAGGTCGTTGAAGCGATGCCTCCATCATATATTACGACCACCACTGTGATGAACAACCACAACTCCATCAGAGGTAAGGACCTATTTAATGACCTCATTTATACTTCATTTATTCCCATTGATATTTTTCCACTACACTGAGACGAACATACGAAACCGAGTATGATTTCACTCGACAGATTTCCATCAAATTTGAGTATATTTCCCTTATTTGAATTTTCAAGAGCGTGCATACCAGAATTTTGTCCGAAATATAATTTATTATTTTATCGTATTTTCGCATTCCAACGGTTTTTAAATAGTTCACAACATGGATGATAACTCGATGCATTGGAGTTTCACGACTACCCGTTTTACGTGAAGTGGTGTAATACTCCTAGTGAAAATCGCGGCATGAAGTGAATTGAAAATACTTGGCGAATTACACCGGACAAATCACCCCATATCACGTGAAACACATACCACGTGTTTTACGCGTTATTCACTGCTCACATGCGTTTTTCGCGTCAAGTGAAATGTGAAATATGTTTTCCACTAGTGTTTTCCATATCGCGGCCTCCCGTGAAACCCCATGAATTTGATATTACGTTTGATCCTACCACTACTACGTTTTGATGAGTTTCTTCACCCTAGTGATATGGAAAAAACATATTTTACGACTATTGCAAGGTGCAAATATCGCGTAAAACGGGTAAACGGGTTGTGAAACTCCAATGAATTTCAACGTTGACTTTTTTTCACCTTGTTCGCATTAGGTGCTCATCCTCCTCCCCCTCCTCAGCAGTTCACACGAAGGGTCAATCGCACTATAAAGAAAAGAAAAACCAAAGTGGTGATGGGGATCAGGTTTCCTCTTTGATTAGTCTCAAATACTGAATTATTATGCTGTTGGTAACACTATGAAAACGATCAGGAAAATTCTTGTTGGTTTTTGTATTACACCTCTACTCGAATGGGAAAGTAATCTCACATATATTCCTCCAACGTCTTAGGAAACGTTTCATTGATTATATTCAGGCGGCGCGTCGTCAACTGACTCGTGATGGCCTCAACCAGAGAAGTGGGGGGAGATTAATGTCGACATGCAAACGTTCAAATCGATCAGATGATCGATTTGAAAACCGACTTCGAGAGCTCAGCGGACCCGCTTTCGGGAATCCATGTTTAGTACACGACCCCATTGATTTAATATCACTGGTAGTATTAACAGAGGAAGTAAAACATATATTGTTACTTTAAAATTAGTGAAAAATTGTTATCACTTGGAAAGTCAACAAAGTTATTCCTTCGTTCGAACATCAGCTGAGCTCTTTAGTGATTCGATATCGCTGGTAGCAATAGTAGTGAGAACTCATTATGGAATATACATTGGAGTTTCTTCACCCTAGTGATATGAAGAAACATATTTCATGGCTACTGTGTAGCACCCATATCGCGTTTTCCACCGACTTTTACGTAAAACGGGTCGTGAAACTTCATCATAGTTATTATGTATAGTATAGTTATTATATATTTGATTTCATAAATTCGGTGTCTCTTCGTTTCAGCAACGCATTTGGGAAGAAGATCCTCAA